ACATTTTTCTTTCTCTTGCAGATGTGCTGAACCCAATGTCTGCTTTCTCACATGGTGTCTGACCACTCTGTTTCCAGGTTCCTTTAGCTTGAACTTCCGTATTTTTGATTTTTGTTCTGCGTTAATGGCCACTAATGTTTTCATCCTTCCCACTGCACAGTCTCATTCTGCCTCAGGTTATTATTCTCATCAGACACTTATTACCATTCCAGTATTTCAGGAATTGTTCCTTGTAAGAGGGTCAGTCATTATCTGTCCCTGCTTCCCAATGCAAAAGTACAAAAAGAGAAGAGACAATCCCATTGCCTGCATTTTCTTATCACACTTCTCATGATCAGGGCAGTTTATGGGAAGACTGAATTCTTGTTTTTGATACTGTGCAAGTTCTTTTAGTTCTGGATACCCAGGTGAGCAGATAGCCAGTCTGTAGGTGTTGCATTACTGTTTTGTTATTTGCTTTTGCCGACACTTTGTACTGCTATGAATCTGTTCACTGACATGAAATTCCATCTAAGGAATGCTAAATATTAACAGCTCAAGACTTAGAATCAAATTGTTCTTTATCCTAAAAGAACTGAAATTCTAGAACTATGGCAAATTTCTGAGTCACATGCACATAGATCTGTGGCATCTTATCGATATGCTTCTTTCTTGACATTCATGCTTTTCGGGCAAGTGCTATCCAACTTACTACTTCCAAAGAAGACTCCTTATTTAAAATTTCAAAATCCTAGATGTTGAAGCTCTTTACCTGGTAAGACAGCACAAATGGATTAAAAGCACAGTTAACTGTGTTAACTTCAGGGCTGGACAATAATGGCTTTTCCTTGGACTACAGTTTTTAACTCCTAAGGGTGAAGGCTAAGGATGCCATACCATGAGTTTATAAAGGACCTCATGTCTAGAAAACCAGAGGTTGGAATTCTTCAAAGGATGGTGTTCCATGTCAGATTTTAAATTGTATTAGTTTATATATGAGTAATTGAATGACATGCCACCATAAACTGTTTTCAGCATAGCTGACAGGATATTAAGTTTTCCCTCAGTCTATTTTGACCTTTTTTTCTCCCTGTTGATGCAAACTAGCTACTTACATGCACTCAAAATAGGTTTTAGAGAAGCCAGACTCATGATAATACATTGGAAAAATTAATCTCAGTAATGGTTGATAAAGCTTACTCTGTCAACAAAGACTGATCAAAGTACTAAAACCAAATTGTTCTCTATCCAGACGTTATGGAATTCGTAGACTTCTTCGCAGAGTACAGGATGAAAAATTAAAACGGATTTCTAGAACAACAGAATACCAAAGCTACAAATCAAAAGTATTTCAAAAGGCATTTTGATTAACTGAGCCCAAGTTACTTATTGTGCCAATTGATCTCTGTTTCTTTCTTGCCAGGTATTGCATCTGATTTATTTCTTGTCTCTCAAAATAAACTGATCACATTCAGCAGTGACCTTAAAATTATCATTAAGGAAATATGACTCAGAGAACCTTGGATAGCCTCAAGCTATTCTGTGTTTATGAGATCATGACTTCCTTTGAATCTATTCATTTTGAGGATATGCTGCTGTCATCTTCTGTTACCTTAAAACTCACAGAACAGAACATTTGTTTTAGATGACAAATCCAAACTTTGACTGTGTTCTTAGAAGGTATTTTAAAAATTATTTCATCTATGACTGCTGAGCCTTTGAGGTGGTATTATACTTGAAGAGTGTGTTGGCACTCAAAGGCAGTTCAAGGTTGTCATCCAAGATGAGTATCTTTAGCTTTTTTTAACTACTTCATATGCTTGTAAATACATCTTAAAAAACTGAAACTCAAAGAGATACATTAGATTCCAGTTCTTAATTATACAACTACTGAAGCACAAGAAGTATGTCCATTCTGTCACTTATCTGGTCTCTATCATCAGAGCACACTAGGGATCTATTATTTACTTGTTCTGAAATACACTGTGTTACAATTGTCAGGTTAGCTCCTGCTTTTTGGATGTGATCATTGCTAAACCAACAGAGATACTTGGGGATACAACAGAGATATGAAAATATCAGATTCTAAGCTTCAATTAATTTAAGTAAGATGGTGGAGGTATTTAAAAAAAAAAAAAAAGACAAAAGAAATTAAACAACTCAACTTTGAGTTGTGAGAAAATTGGTCTTTTAAAATATATATGGGAAAACTACTGAAAGTTATTCTTTAATTAATACAAATACATACAGAATGAAATCAGCATGCAAATATGCTGTCATGATGAATAACTACTGCAAGTCTCAAATTTTCCAAATCAGTGGTGTCAATAGAATATTTAAAAAGTGACTTTTACATTTTGATAACAGTGGAATCCTGAACCTCTCAGAGGATAATGTGAATGTATAATGTTCTTCAGCAACAAGCACTTGTCTTATGTAAATTTGGTAAAAGCAGCTGAAAGACAAAATCTCAGATGAAGTTTGTATCCAATTACAGTACTGCAAAATGACTGTTTTATCACTATGTTTCTTATGTCAGACAAAATCTTACTCAGAAGATCATTATCTGCATCAATCTACCTTTTCCTGACTAGCAGTTTTAAGCTATCCATACATACAGAATATCTCCATTGCTGACTGACACTTTTTACTCATACTACATTATTCATCTGAGCTTTTGCTGTAGGAATAGGATACTCCCATACTGGTCTCTCAAATCCCAGAGCAAAAAGAAGTTTATGAATCATGATGTCTTGAGACACAAAGTGCTTGTCAGCAAGGAGGACTGAACGAGATGAAATCATCAGCTGTGCAAAATCTGTGCTAATGAGAACTACAGAACTTAAAGTGAATACTGTTTCATGTTAAGTCTCAGTGAGCACCAAAGTGAATAAAAATGGATAGCAAAATTCTGATTTATCTTAGAATGAAAAAGTTTGCTACTTCACGATTTTAAATGTCAAACACAGTGCTATTAGCAATCACAGTGTTCTGTGTTCTCAACTCTGTATTCAGCATTTGTATTGGTATCTTTCATATAATTCTAGAATGTGCCTTAAGTGCTTTTCCCTTACTATTTAAGACAGCTATATTGACTTTCTTCTGTTTATAATTAAGTGACTTGTACCATACAAATCTTTAGTATTTCTTGGAGATGCAGCTACCAGTTCTGTATATAAAAACAGCCATTTACTAAAATGACTGTCCAGATTTATTTTAGTCATTATTATATGGGACATTTACCGCTCCATGCTCAAAATATTTGTTCTGTGGAATGTTACAGAAGAGCTCGATCCTAAAATATTAAATTACAAGCAGTATTGGGCTTTTCCTATGAGTAGCGACAACTGAGCCAAGCCCTGGCATGGAGCTCTAAGACTTTGGCAATATTGATATTGAAAAGTACTCTTGTGAGGAGTACAGTTAAGGATTTTATCAGATAGAAGGCAGGAGGCAATTTCAAGAAGCAACGCCATAGAAATCTCAAAAAAGCAAGAGTTTAAAATAACTTGTCTTCCTTACGTTCTGAAATGAGGTGTAATTTTTCCTCTCTAAATGTAACTTAGCAAAGTGATTCAGTGAAGAATCTATTCAATCTTCTGTGAATCTACTTGTATTCTCTCAGAGACAAATGAATTATACTCAGATGTTAGGTACATCTGCATTTATAAATGATGGTTGGGGCATATAAAGAAATGCAGGACTTCACACATGCTTCTCTCTTTGAAAGTTGCTTTTAAAGGCAGCTAGTCTTTGTTCTCATTTAAATACAATGCACTTGGATTCACTATCAAATTAATGAATATAAGCCACAAATTTGCAAAATATGCTCTTTATAGTTTTTTTGGTATAAGAAGAGAAGTGTACAAGAGTGTTCTTTTCTGTTGCATTTCAGAGAGCAGGAAGAAAGCTTCTGTATTACACTTAAAAGTATAGATTTTTGATTTCACTCTTCTTTGGGAGAGGAACGCTGATATGCAAAAACAAACAAAAAACAACAAAAAGAAGGCTTTCTCATCCTTTCTATAAAGTTCAACAAAAACTCCATCTTTCCCACTTGAGAATGTTATAAAAAATTCAGGAATACAGGAATGTATTTAGTTTCCAAGTTACAACTTGGGAAGCTGTATTTCTAAAAAAATGGGAACAAGGCAAAACTCAGTGTTTTCCTGTTTCACGTTTTGGAAGAAAATCTTTGTGTTTTTTTTTTTTTTTTAATGCATGAGGAAAGGAAGTGCACAGAACATCTGTTGAGCTCAGGCAAAGCTTTGAAGTCCCAAGTTCAAGTTTCTACTAAAATGAATGTTTCTTTAACATAGCATAAGCAGGGAAGAATGGGTAAGATTCCCATGTCAGCAGGTAGCTAGCTTGGCAGTTAAGGCAACGTCAAAGACAGGGGATCAAAAATCTCGCCTGAATGGAAAAGAACTGAGACTTGAATCTGACCCAACACCGTCAGACTCTTCATGATAGTTACTGGAATAGCAGCTGATAATTCAAATAATCTCTCTCAGAAATTGCATGTTTGCTAAGACCTTTCTACCAATGCTAGCATATGTTTTCTAGTGAAAGCTGCTGGTTTCAATACTTTGACCTTTTCAAGTGGAGGACCATGCTGCTGAAATGTTACTGATTAATTTTACAGCAGTTTCACTAACATATAAGAAATTAGTTGTTTGTTGCAGCTTAATAAGATATATTATTTTCCTTTTTACAAAGAATACCTAGAGGCAAAATATACAAAGAAGTTAAGGTGATGAAGTCAATGTAAGTTGGTAATGAATACCTTAATACTCTGGAATTTCTGATACAGAAAAGTAATTCAAATTTATAATGTAGCAGCTTTCACAAAGACTGAAAAACTTTTTGATTAAAATTTTATATCCTTTTAAAACTGAGCATAAAATTGAGACTCACATCAGCCAAAGCAGGCTTCGAATTTTTTTAATGCAAAACTAAACATACGTCTCGGCAGTATTTTTGAAATGTTGCTTTTTTAAAAATAAATAGGGTAGAACAAAAATATTGCAGATTTATAACGATTCCCTCAAAGTTTCTTCATTTGGACAGCAGATATGAAAGCAAAACAGAAAGCAAGCAGCACCAACAGCATCATGAGTTGCCTGCCATTGATTTTTTTTTTTTAAATCATTATTATTAACTGATACTAACTTGCTTAAGAAATTAGATAGAATTAGTACTCATGTTTTGAGTTTCACTGAAAGTTGATTTTAGTGATTTAATCTCGCTTTCAATCTGGAAAACGTTTTTGTATGTGTGTGTTAAATGCTTCCTTTCACCAAAGGGATCTTGAAGAGTTGTATCATGAATGAGAAATCAGAATGCATAATTTCACTATTGAAATACGGTTACCTATTGAGTACAGAATTGCTTCCATTTGTAACTTCAACTTGCATATCACTGAAGTGCATCTTTACATATGCAGCTACTTCCCTTAAATTTGTGGGCCTGCTCAGATGCCTAGCACTGGCAAGACACTATTTTTAAACACCGTGTTAACGTCATGTAGAGCAGCTGAATTCATACAGTCCACCTCACATCACACAACGAGGGTGAGGAAATCTGGTCGGTAACACGGACTACATTCTCTATTTCGAATAGCACAGGCAGGCAGGATGCTGAAGGGTTTATCTAAGGTGAAAGTCCCAGCAGCCTGAAGCCTGGTCACCATGGAAAGACAAAAGTTTGTATTGTCTGCCCAGATCACAGCTGGAGTTCACATCTCCAAACACCTCTTCAAAGTGCTTCCTTATTCTTTGCAGGTGCATTCATAAATAAAATTATTCTGTAAAGAATTGATGATTAAAGAAGTCCACCCTCAAGAAGAGGTCCGCAGAGGGAGAACTTCACAGAGAAGGATGGCAGCACCTCAGTGCAGTGGAAGATGAAAAGAAAGAACATCTACAGAGGTATTTTTCTTTTTGGCTATTACCTCTTTATAGACAGTAAAATAACACGGCGTATTTCCCTGAAAAGCTTTGATAAGGATATAGTAGTTAAAACAAAGAAAACTAGATTTTCTGCCAGAAGCAAGCCTATACTGTGTGTGTGTATTCCTGCAGAGCTTCTTTCTGACTTGGGAAAGTGCATTCTAAGTAAGAAATTCACTCTGGATTCAGGAAAGTTGAGTTCTCCTTCTGGTCTCTGCTGGGGTCTTTGTTCTTGAAGTGTAGTTGATCGTTTCATTCTGTCTTGTTTTTATTTACTGTATTCTGTCCTTTGTAATTAGAATTTAAACTCTCCCTTTGTCTCATATGTTTTGTAAAACGTCTGGCATAAAGGGCCACTTATCTCAATTGACCTACTAAGTGCTGCTGCAATGCAAACAGTGATGCGTCCAGACTTGACGGTATTTCACCTTAACGTGATGCAAGACTGTGTGCTGCACTCTAATTTGGCAGAGAGGAGAAACAAATTTCGGATATGAAAATGGGAATAGCAGAGAATAGGACAGAGCTGTAGATTGGGGGGGGGGTGAGGGGAAGGACAGGAAAATAACTTTAGTTTCTCATAAAATCAACTGGAGACTCAGATCTGGAAAGTGCTAGTTGCTTTACTTGGCAACCATTTACAGGCCCATCTGTGGCATTTGCCCACACAAAGGAATATCTGAGGGCGAGCAAAAGAAGTTTGTAGGCCAATGGATTTATGCATTGGTGGCAGCCAAAAAACTTCTGAGCTGTAATCTCGCCTTTTGTCTGCTGACAAATATGCATGCGTTCTTCACAGCTTCTGTTAATGATCCACCCTTGCAGACCTTCTCCAAAGTGAGATTTAGAGGAGATGGTCGTTAGTTGCTATCTCCAAAAATATCTTAGCCCACTGCTTTTCCTGGATGCTAAATCTTGAAATCGCCATAGAGGCTGTTCAGTTAGAAGGTCCTCCTCCAGCTAAGCGGAATGAGGGGTCAGTGGGACCTCGCTGTGCCCACAGCAGGCGTTTGTTTGCAGCACTGTATATGGCATCTACAACACCCCACAGGTTCAGGATATGCCGGTGACATGGAGCAATCTATCGCACCAGGACCATGGGAAACGGCTCCTCTCACAACTGCTGGGTGCTGTGAGTGAGTGGGAGGGGATTAAAGCAGCCGTGTCAGGAGCTGTGCTGACAGGGACAGGAAGGCGAGGGCTGTGTCAGCACGCAGCGCTGTGTGTTTGTGTGTGTGGTGTGTGACCGACGTGTTGCTGACAGCGGCAACAGCCGCAGCTGGTTGGGTCAGCTGGCAGTGCAGTGTAATTTTCAAGTGAACTTCAACTGGAAACAAAAAGAGAAAAAAAAAAAAAAAACGTCCCGGGAAGCTCCGAGCCTGAGGCGGCGACTGGGTGCCCGCTTCGCACCGCGGCCCGTCAGCGATTCTCCCGCTACCCCCGTCCCAACGGCCGCCTGGCGCCCCGCCCCGCGGGGGGGGTTGTAGGGGGGGTGAGGGGCGTGGCGTCGCGCAAGTCCCCGGATGGAAGCGGCGCGGCGCGGCACCGCGTGACCCCTCCCTGTCCGGAAGTGCGGCGGCAGCGGCGCTGGAGCGGCGGTCAGCGGCCGGGCTGTACGGCAGCCGCAGCGCTACCGGCGGTGAGCTCGGCGCGGTTCGGTGCGGGCAGCGATGCGGCCCCGCTCCCGTCCGACCTCGCCGCTTCCGCCAGCCGTCGGCCGTCGGTGACCGCCACGCCTTCCCCCGCCTCGGCGCTATGAGAGCCGCCGCGCTCCGGTACGTAACGCCTGAACGGCGGGAGGGAGCGGGGCGGCGAGGGGGGGGGAGGCCTTTGTTGCGCCCTCCGGGCCGCGGAGGGGCGGGCGCGGCGCACTGCCCCGGGGCGGCGGCCTGCGGGCCTGAGGGAGCGGCGGCGGGGCCTCCCCCGGGCGGTGCGGGTAAAGGGGGGCCCGGTCCGGCCCCGCGGAGCTCCCCGTGCCGGCTTTGTGCCTGCGCGGATGGGATCCGTGCGTTCGGCTGCCGGCCGGTGCGAAGCCGTCCTGCGGGGAAGTTCCCGTCTCGCAGCAACAGCTGGGCTTGGGGGTGCTGAGAAACTTGGCGGAGGTGAAATAACAGCGAAGGTTGAGCCGGCGGTGCGGCGTGCCCCCATCTTACACATGGGCAGGAAGTGCGGCTGAGCGGGGCCGGGTTTCACCTGGTGATGTCATCTCGTGAAATCCGCCGGTGAATCAATGCATCAGCGAACGTCAGAGGAGGGAAACGAGGAGCCAGAAGTGAAACAGAAGAGCTCCCGAGGAGCTTCAGCCTTCGGCTGCGTTGTAGCGGGCACGGTTGTGCAGTTAGAAAGGCGGGAAGGTGTTCCTAACTTTTGCCACGGTGTCAGGAGGTACAGGAATAGCGTTTGAACAAAAAGGATTGTTTCCAACCTCCTGCCAGGAAGCGCTGTGGGACTCCAGCTGGGTCGTTCCTTGCTCTTATCGGTTCTGCAGAAGGCGTTATTTTGATAGCTATTCCATATGGTTGGGAGGCTTTGTGCCACAGCGGTGCTGAAGCTCTTTGTATGGCTGCTCAGGTGTTTTGTTTTAATGCTTTGAAACAAACGCTGCCACATTTCTTCTTCTTTTTTTTTTTTTTTTTTTTTTTTTTTTGGTTTCTACTGAATTTTTTATTTCAGGAAGTAAAATAATTCTTTTATAAAAGGTTACTGGTACCTTACCAGTCACTGTAAAGTAAAAATACTTGAAAATACCGTAAAATATTTTACCTGCTTTCTCCACCTGGTCACAGAATCACAGAATGGCCAGGGTTGGAAGGGACCTTGAGGATCATGAATCTCCAACCCACCTGCCATATGCAGGGCCACCAACCTCCCCATTTAATGCTAGACCAGGCTGCCTAGGGCCCCATCCAGTCTGGCCTTGAATACCTCCAAGGATGGGGCATCCACAGCCTCTCTGGGCAGCCTGTTCCAGCACCTCACCACTCTCTCCATAAAGAACTTCCCCCTGGCATCCAATCTAAATCTTCCCTCCCTCAACTTAAAACCATTTCCATTTGTCCTGCAATTATCAACCCTTTCAAAGAGTTGATTCCCCTCCTGTTTGTAGGCTTCCTTTAGGTACTGAAAGGCTGCAATGAGGTCACCCTGCAGCCTTCTTTTCTCCAGGCTGAACAAGCCCAGCTCCTTCAGCCTGTTTTTGTAGGGGAGGTGTTCCAGTCCCCTGATCATCTTTGTGGCCCTCCTCTAATGTCCTACACATGTCCTTCTGGCATGTGTAACTGGGACAAAACTGGATGCTTGTGAGGGATTTACAGTGTGTGCCCCTGTATCTAATTGGCTATTAGAATCACAGATTTGCTCAGGTTGGGAAAGACCTTAAAGATCATCAAGTCCAACCACAATCTGACCATATTACCCTAACTCTAACAACCCTTCGCTAAATCATGTCCAGGAAAATCAAACTGAGATGATTGCTTTTAATTAGTGTATCTACCTGATAGTTGAAGATTTTATACGTACAAAATTCTCTACTTAAATCAAGGCTTGTGAAAGGCTTGGAGGATATGCCCTATGAGGAGAGACTGAAGGAACTGGGGCTCAGTCTGGGGAAAAGGAGGCTTAGGGTAGACCTTATTGATTGCTTTCTTCCAATATTGAAAGGTGCTTACAGCAAGAGTGGGGCTGATCTCTTCTCACTGGTGACAGGTGACAGGAGAAGGGGAAATGGCCTTAAGTTGCACCAGGGTAAGTTTAGATTGGATATCAGGAAAAACTTCTGTACTGAAAGGGTTGTTAAGCACAGGGAAGGCTCCCCAGGGAGGTGGTTGAGTCACCATCCCTGGATGTGTTTAAAATCCATTTGGATGTGATGCTAAGGGACGTGATTTAGCGGAGGGTTCTTAGGGTAGTATGGTCAAGTCGTGGTTGGACTCGGTGATCCTTAAGATTTTTTCCAACCTGAGAGATTCTATGAAAGCATGGATTTGAAAAGTGTCAGTGTTGAGTCATTCTCTCCTGTATCTCTTTAGGTCACTACGAATACTAAAGCACTTTGTCTTCTTAGGAATCGCAGTTGGTGAAGGTGGTTAAGGAAGCACCAAATCAGTTGATAGGTCAGTGATGGGCTAATGTAACAATGCACTGATACATCAACTAGTGTGAATTGCATGGCTGCAGAAGTCAGTTATCATGGTGAAGTTGGAGGAACATGCAATCCTCTCCTGACTCAGCAGGGGTGGTCCTCATGCTGAAGAGGAAGTAAAACCCAATTACTAAACACTGTTTTGTCATGTCTTGCACTCCCAGGTTTTGAGGGTAAAGTAGGAAGCCCTTGCCTTACTGGCTATCTGACGTCTTGGAGCTGTTGTTCCTGGCCTGAGGCTGTGATAGAGTTCTGCTTCATCCTCTCAGAGATGGCTTTTCAAGAGGTTTCCATATCATTGCTCGTGGTTCTTTCCTCCTTCTTTAAAATACTTATGTATTCACACAGATTTCTTTTTCTGCTTTGATTTCTTGAGAAACTTCCCAGTCTATTTCCTTATGGCTCTTTGTACCACCCATCCCAAAAGGAATCTTACAGGAGCCCTAGCTTCAAATGAAAAGAGGAAATGTCCACATAGTTTGTGCTTGATTGAGAACTTTTGCAGTTGCGTGAAGTGTAGAAGGAGATTCATAATGGCAATTTTCTTGTTTCGGAGGCTGGGTGACCACTTTCCATTGTTGGCTGGCTTTAAGTAGTGTGTGTCCTATGTTATATAGCATGTGTGTTGTGGTGCACAAAGGCTTCAGTTTTTGTAGTGCTTTTATCTGTTTAATCCATGTACTTTGGCAGGACTGTGTTCAGTATTGGAACAAACTTAAGCAAAAAACTCCTCAACTTTCGTACCATTTTACTTCTTTAATAGCTTTCTTCTGTGGTTTTGGTAACCAGCTTTAAATTTGTTCTTTGTTGGCTATAAAGGTTTTTATGTGCTCTCTGTCTGCATGCTTGCAAAGAGTTTCTTTATGTGCCAGTGTTCTTTTACCAGTGTTTGCATAAAGCATTTAGGAAATGTAGTGGAAAGTGGGATGCTCCTGCTGTTTCACAGACTCATTAGCATGGAATAATCTAGGGAGATCATACATCCAGATTCCCTGAATTACCTGAGTGAGTTACTCGTGATGCTACCTTGCATCTCCCAAAAGCCATTTATCATTTATTTTTGTTGTGCAGAATGCTATGTTTGCTGATCACTACCCTTTCATTCTGTGGAAGTCCTTAGCAAAAATGACACAAACCCAATTTAGTATGTTATCCTGCTTCACAGTTGGAGAATTTGACAGTTGCTTCAGTGGAAAAAAGCTGTCGTCTTTTCCATGGTGCTTGTTCAGATGTTAAAGATGGACTAACTGATTTTGAGTGGACTTTGTGTAAAGGTGAATGCTGGGTGAGCAGAGGAGAGGTTTTCTGTGGTGAGTCTTTATAAAAAAAGCTCCTGTACATACTTAGATGCTTTTAACAACTTTTTTTTTTTTTAGCATTAGAAATATCTAATGTGGTCTTCCTTGAATTCATTTCTAAACGTACGGAATGAAGCTGAGAGGTTTTATGAACACTTGCAAAGTGGTTATATACTTTTTGTGGGTGTATCTCTATGAAAAGCTGTAGCCTGCTTAGCTAGTAAGCTGCATTTGAAGCTCAGGTTTGATATGTTTTCTTGCTGTATGATTTCTGTAGAATGCACAACTGCTTAGCCTTTAATTAGTGGTACTTTGTGGGTTCAGTATTGAACAGTTGGTGTTAAGCCCCATCTGCTTTCATGGGAGTCATGTTTGCACTCTGCACTATATTGTGATCTTCCTTCTTGAGTAATACAAACTTGAATTTATCATTCGACATGTCATTTAACTTGCTGCTTTACAGAATGAAAAAGTAATTGTGTTCCAGGGAGAATGCAATAGAGTAGGTCTTGGCTAAGGCAGTGCTGCTGGTGGAGGGAATGTCTCCAACAGTTGGGAAACTTCCAAAGTTCACGGGGTGGGAACATCTTGTTGTACCAGCCTGTGCTGTGCTGTGGAAAGGATCTCCGGATGAAACTTGGGAGCCAGGCTTTCTCTTCTTCCTGATTGCTGCTTTAATGCTTATCCCCTCCCAAGTGCTTGCATACCAGTTGGTCGAGTCACTTGCAAGTCGGTTTTCATGCAAGGCTACAAATGGCGATGAAGGGAACGGTGGGAAGTGATGACTTGCATTTGATTTATTTGAAATGCCTTGTTTTGTTGTGTATTAAACGTTTGGAAAATTAATTATGCTTGGGTGTTAAAGGGTTTGAGGTTAGTTGCCTTAAACTCAGCTGTTGCTTCCTGAACAGCTGAAATTGCATATAGAAACAGCTCTTTCTGGCCTGAGGAATAGTTGCTGTAACTTTCTCCTCTGGTGTCATACTTTCTGGTTCTCTGTTCCATGTTGACGTTTTCTTTGGAAAACTACATTTCCCAGAAGTTTTATTCCTGGCTTTCTTTATTCATTCTCAGTTTCTAATTGATGGATCTGTTTTCTCCATTAGCATCGCCTGTGGCCTCTGAAGGGTGATCATTTGCAATGTTCAAATAAAAAACAAACAAACAAAAAAAAACCAAACCCACTGCTTTCTGTTGAAAATTGAAGACGAGTCACTTATTTTGAGCACTTAGTGTACGGGTGCAATGATTTGTATTAGCTAATGATTTCTTAAAATTTTTTGGAGCAAAGACTTGTTGACTGTCTGCAGCATTTAACACAGTAATGCTCTGAATT